GGGGTTTCACCATGTTGACCAGGATGGTCTCGATCTCTTGACCTCGTGATCCACCCGCCTCGGCCTCCCAAAGTGCTGGGATTACAGGCTTGAGCCACCGCGCCCGGCCTTTAAAACACTTTTAATAAAAAAAAATTACTATGGCCCCTAAGGATCCTGTGTTTATTAACAGCTATCAAATTTTATCATATTAGCTAAGCACAGTGGCTCTTACCTCTAATTCCATCACTTTGGGGACCAAAGCAGGAGGATCACTTGAGCCCAGGAATTCAAGACCAGTCTCTCAACATAGTGAATGCCCATCTCTGCAAAAAATGTAAAAATTAGCCAGGCACAATGGTGTGTGCCTATAGTCCCAGCTATTCAGGAGGCTGAGGCAGGAGAATCACTTGAGCCCAGAGGTTTAAGATTGCAGTGAGCTATGATCACACCACTGCACTCTAGCTTGAGTGACAGAGTAAGACCCTGTTTCTGAAAAAGACAAAAACAAAACCATATTATAAACTGAAATGGAAAAACTTTATTTTTATTTTACTTTGTAAATATTTTTTGAGATAGAGTCTTGCTTTTTCACCCAGGCTGGAGTACAATGGCGGAATCTCAGTTTACTGCAACCTTTGCCTCCTGGGCTTAAACAATTCTCCTGCCTCAGCCTCCCAGGTAGCTGGGATTACAGGCATGTGCCACTACACCAGGCTGATTTTTGTATTTTTAGTAGAGTTGGGGTTTCGCATGTTGACCAGGCTGTTCTCAAACTCCTGACCTCAAATGATCCACCTGCCTTGGCCTCCAAAGTGCTGGGATTACAGGCATGAGCCACTGCACCCAGACCAAAATGGAGAAACTTTAAAATATTTCTTAACTCATTTAGAAATAATAATAAATTCATTTTACATTAACATAATATTTTAATGAAAAACAACTATATTGTCTAAAACAAAAAAAATAATGGAAAAAGTGGCATTGTTTTACATCTTTGCAAATTTCTTTAATATCTGGCTCAAAAGACAGATGGATTCTTTTTTTTTTTCTCCTTTTTTTTTGTTCTTTTAGTTGGGTTCATGAGTAGAATCTGTTAAGACAGCTGGATTCTTAAACCAACTCCTGCATTTAATTTTTTAAGCTCTCATATGTCATTCAGTGTTTGGAAACTCCACTGTACATTTGAAAGAGAGAGCAAGTAAAAAGACAAATAACTGCTTATTATTATTATTATTTTTGAGATGGAGTCTTTCTCTGTTGCCCAGGCTGAAGTGCAGTGGTGCAGTCTTGGCTTACTGCAACCTCTGCCTCCAGGTTCAAGCTATTCTCCCGCCTGAGCCTCCCTAGTAGCTGGGACTACAGCTGCATGCCACCATACCCAGCTAATTTTTATATTTTTAATAGAGATGGGGTTTCACCATGTTGGCCAGGCTGGTCTGAAACTCCTGACCTCAAGTGATCCACCCACCTCAGTCTCCCAAAGAGCTGGGATTACAGGCATGAGCCACTGTGCCTAGCCTATTATTATGAAAATAGTTTAGCTCTCTTGACCCTCTGAAAGAGTCTCAGAGCCTGTAGGGTCCCTTCTCACCACATAATGGGAACTGCTGCTCTGATCTGCCCCCCTGGGGGCGGCATTTTTCTTTTTTTTTTTTTTTTTTTTTTTTTTTTGGTTTTTTTTTTTTTTTTTTTTTTTTTTTTTTTTTTTTTTTCTTTTTTTTTCTTTTTAAGATGGGGTTTCACCATGATGGCCAGGCTGGTCTTGAACTCCTGACCTCAGGTGATCCACCCACCTCAGCCTCCCAAAGTGCTAGGATT